TTCATAAAATTAATTGTAAAATTTGCCATTCTTTATATTTGTGCTTTAATTTTTATTAAAAATTTAACAGGTGAGAAAGTAAGTTACCTCTGTAAATGTTTCTATTTCAGAATTTGTCTCATTAAAAAGAACATCTGCTAGTTTGGAATATTTTTCAATCTTTGTTTAAGATTGATCCAAAATAATATGGGAACGAAGTTCCCAATAACAGAGAGCATTCAATAAAACAAAAAATCAATATACAAATGAACTAAAATCGTTAACTTTTTTTTAAACTATTATAACTTTTACTAAAAAATATTTTAGTATGAAAAAAATGTTACCTGAAGCAGATAGCATTTCTTTGTTTACATTGAAAATGATGTCATAAATAAAAGTCCTGACAACAGGAATTGGATATGTTTCCATATTTCAGTTACTTTTGATCAGACATTATGCTGTGAAATAATTGTTTGCAATTTGGTATAGAAGTATTTATTGTTAAGCCCTCATTCATGAGGTCAATGATGAAGGGTATCTCAAAAGTCACAGATTTTTTTTAAATTGTAGTGATTTTTCAATGTCATAATTTTTAAAATGAAAAACGGTATTTTGGTGACCTTACTGTAGTACATTTCTCTGCAGTCTTAATTTTGCAAAATGTTCAGTATTAAAAGAATTATTTCTACAGACTACATCATTTTTTACATGTAATATCTGCTTTATATTATACTTATTAAATGGTGAATTTTGGTAAATAGTGAGAAGCCTAAATTTACTAAAGTGTTTGGTGATAGATTGTTTTTCAATTAGCTCATTATTCGTGTCTCAAACAAAAATTTATGGAAAGTTGGTATAGACTGAATGGTCATATTTTTATCGTTATTTCATGTAAACTTTGCTCACACTTTTTAATTACCCTTTTCTGAACCTCTATGACCACTTGTTCTTCACGTGACTCTATTAATCGGAACCTCTCGGATTTTTACATAACGATCTAACGGTAGAGTACTTCCGCTTTGTCAGAGCGGTAAAATCAAGTTGAGTTCAGCAGTTCAATGTACCTGATCAAAGATGAGTAGTATATTATCAAACACTCCAACAAAGTTGATGGAAGCCGAAAGGTGTTTTAAGAGGGCTTGTGACGAGATCCTATCGCTGAACAGAAAGATCGAAGACTTTTCAAAGCGATACGACATGGCTAGAAGAGAAAACAGGCGATCGTACCGTTACAACCTCAGGTTGCAGATTGCAGTTGTCGAAGGTGTTCGAAACATGTTCTACGAATATGCTACCAAGAAGGCAGATGAAATTTCGGAGCTTCGATTTCAAGTCAACGTAGAGATGTCAGATGATGAAGATGATTTCAGTTCTCGTGGGTACTCCTTGTCAGCCGTACTGGACGACGATGAAGAGTCGTCACAAGAAGATTCTGACCACGACGATGAAGATGAAGTAGACGAAATGGAAGTCAGCTAAACCAACCAGCTTGAGGCTCCTTATTATAAAGGCTCTTTTAAGAGCCACACAAATATTTCAAAAAGAGTCTAAAATTGTTTTGCCTGATTATGTCGGACCAGTGTTCTCCCCAGGGTCTTAAAGCAACTGCGTCTTAACGTAATTAATAGTCCCTCCAACATTGAAGCACACAGCATGTTCAGTTAACAGAGCAGTTTAAAATTAACATATTCACATTAAACTTATTCCAAAGTTAAATGTTGAATTTATAGTCCTCCACTGGAAAACGTTGCACACACACACAATAACCATTTACAGGAATGTATATATAAGAATTTACGATAGAATGTATTATAAACATGGCACTGGCTACGGTTACATTGAAATGTAACAATAATAAAATAATTATTGTTACATTGGAGACTAATTGCCGGAATATAGGTTTGGGTAAGGAACTGATTAATTACGAATGTAACAATAATATTTGTGTCTACGGTTACATTGCGTTATTGTTACATTAAAGAATGCCACATACGCTAGATTTATTAAACTTTAACCTTCTATAGTTTTGATATGTACAAGATAATATTTGTAATAATGATAATGATAATAATAATATTATTTATATTCAACAAATAATGTGTTTAAATAGATTAAGTATTAATTGTTTTGATCATGTTGATGTTCTTAAAGATACTGCTACAGTTTAGTAATGCCAAAGGCGAAACATATAGTTTAATGGTTCATTGTTAAGAACTTGGACTGTGAAAAGTGTTCACTTCTATGTATTTAACTGCACACCTACACATATTACTGTCATTACACTTTGAACAATGGATGAAGCGATTGAAACTCAATTAAACAAAAATTTTAAAAATTGTATCCAATATTGTAAATATCAAATAAAAGTTTTCAAGTTTTATTTTAATACATATTTCTAGTCCCATTGTACATTGCAGTGCATTGAATAAATGACGACGCAACAATAACACAATGTAATGGTAGACACATATATTATTGTTACATTCGTAATTAATCGACTCCTTACCCAACCCTGTATTCCGGCAATTAGTCTCCAATGTAACAATAATTATTTTATTATTGTTACATTTCCATGTAACCGTAGCCAGTGTGGAATGTATTTGAAAATGCTGAATACTGAAGTCTACCAATGTCATGTTCATTGCAATGGAATTTTGGGGGTTATGGCCTAAACCATTTGGGAAAAAGGGGCCAAATCATTACTATTTTAATAATTTGTATAAATTGCTCATTTCTTGAGCAATTTCAAAGGGGTTTAATTCAGTCTTAAATTCTTGGGGTTCTTTATTGTGCTGAATCTAACCGTGTATCTAGATTATGGACCCTATTTTTAATTGGTCCACATTAAGGTCCAAAGTGTCCAAAATTAAACTTTTTTAACTTTAACAAATATTGAATTCAAGAGGTTTTTGATATGCTGAATCTAAACATGTATGTAGATTTTTGATGTTTGGCCCAGTTTTCAAATTGGTCCAAATTGGGATCCTAAATGAAACTTTGATGGGGTTCTTTAATATGCTGAATCTAACTGTGTTTAGATTTTGGATTTTTGGCCCCAGGCCCATTATTAAACTGGTCCACATTGAGGTTCAAAGGGTCCAAAATTAAACTTTGATTTCACAAAAAATAGATATAGCATCATCATATTCTAACTGTAGAAAATATGACACTTTGAAAATATTTCATATAAAAATTATTTTAGACCTGGAGAGTCACCTTTACCAGGTAAAAATTTTTTTTATTGAAGTATATTAAAGTATTAATATTTTTATTAAAATTTCAAGGTATTATAACTGTATTCATCATCCAATGTAAACAGATATACACATCAGTATAAATGTTCAAAATTTCATCAATGGATCAAACAGATTTCTTTTTGTCAACATCCACATCAACAGAATTATATGACTTCAATCTTTCCTTCTTTTTTTCTGTTCTCTTCTATTTACCTATAGATATGTTTAAACTTGTATACACATTCGTATCATCGTTCTTTTTATATTAGATTTATACACTTTTATTCCAACTTGGATGATATTAGAGGTACCTTTTTCAATCTTTCCTCATTCATAAATATTGCAATAAAACTCGAAAGATATTATTTTGACCTGCAGTTGGAGAACTTGTGTTGGTCAGAAAAACTGAAATATTCTTCAAAAGTTAAAGAGGAAAGGAGCACAACAGTTCTTTAAAGCAGTGTTAGCTGCCCAATTTATGACCACAGAATTGAATCAAACTCTCAAATTTCAATTATAACATACTAAAGCGTATATCATCCATATGAAACAATAATCAATGCATGAAATCTGTATAAAGTACCAATATTTTATGGATATTTTACAATAAAGACACCATCTAAATCAGACTAATTAACAATTAACATGACCTTTGAATATTGGTGTGTTATGAGACCTGATATAAATACAATAAAAGAAGAATGTGTCTGAGGACTCGATTACCCCTGTTCAAGCTTTGCAATTTTTCAAGTTAATAAGGGGCATAACTCTAGAACTCACTGCCAAAATTCAAACTTTGTCTGCTTGTTGTGGCTCTTAGGGTTGTGTATGAGTTCCATAAAATTTGGATAAGGAAAACATACCGGTAAGTTAGAGTGCAGAAATGAAAATGGGATGGACAGACGGAAGGACAGTCTGAGTTAAGGGTAACAGTTAATGCCCCCATTGCCTATGGAGGGGGGATAAATATGAATAGCTTCCTTGTAATGTTTTGTAGAGAAATGACCTCTGTCACACTAAATGTTTAGCTTCTTTGTTATGTTTCATTGAGAGATCACCATTGACACATAGTAAGGCTACCTTTTTTGATATAAATTTATTGAGAGATCACCTTTGACACATTGAAAGGCTACATACCTTCTTTGATAAGTTTTATTGAATGATAAATTCTGACACATTGAAATGTTAGCTTTGATATGTTTCATTGAGACATTGAAAGGTTAGCTTCCTTGTTATGTTATTTCAGATACATTGAAATGTTAGCTTCTTTGTTATGTTTCATTGTGAGATAAACTCTGACACACTTATAGGTTAGCTGCATTGCTGTGCCTCATTAAGAAAGCAACCTTGAAACACTGAAAGATAAACTTTTTTGACACATTCCCTGTTTCCATTCTCATTTTTATTCTGTGTATGTGTTACTTATTTATGCCCCCTTAGCAAGACAAAGGGGGCATTAAGCTTTACCCTTGTCTGTCTGTTAGTATGTCCCTAAATTGGTTTCTGTACTCTAACTTTAGTTTGCCTCAACCAAATACTATGAAACTTATACACAATGCTTATAACCAGTTTATAAATGGAAAATGGCTGAATTTGCCATTTTGCACTCCAACCTTACTGTGCCTCAACCAAATGTTATGAAACTTAAGCACAATGCTTATTACTACCAAACACAGATCAAGTACGAATTTGGGTGGCATCACTTTCACTGTTCTCAAGTTATGTCCCTTTATTGACTGGCATATTAACTATCTTATTTACATATATCAACTTCCTATGTTGCAGGATTGAAGGGTAGAGCACCATCGATAACAGATCTTGGTGATATAGAATATGGTGACAGAGTTATAGTTGCTGGACAACGTAAAGGAACTGTCAAATATGTTGGTGAATCAAAATTTGCACCAGGTTAGTAAAACAAATGTTATGAAATATTGATATATTTTCAGCTGAAGTATAATTGTTGGAAATAAAACATTCCAGGTTGAAATTGTCACATGGTTTTGTCTTTTTCACACAACTTCTCTCTATAAAAAAAGTGACAGTTGTTTCCCAGTGGATACTTATCTTTTGTTAGTATTTGAAAGATTAAACATTATTAATGATTAAGACATTTGTATGCAAAAAAATGAACATGGAAAGATGAAGATATTTGTGATCTTAACAATAAAACATACAATTAACAGTTACTAGAAATTCATGCACCCAGATCAAAGCAGATGATGTAAAAGTTTAAAAAAAATATAACTCTAAAATGACTGTACAATGTGAAAAAACCCCATGAAAAATGATATAAGATGTATTCATTGCACCCACCCTCCCTCACTCTCCTAGACCAACTGAGCTGTGTGATTCATGTCCAGTCATTCTCTGCTATAAACAATATAACTTTGATAATTAATAAACAATGAATCTTTCTAGTGGGGCAATTGAAACATAACTTGAGCAGAATCATCCTTAGGATGTCTCTTCAAAAATTTATCTCTACATGAAGTTCATGTAAGATAATGTAACATAGTAAGTACTTGTGACTGGTTGATTTCTTCCTTCTGTTTAACACAGGTATATGGTATGGTATTGAATTGGACCGTCCTGTTGGGAAAAATGATGGATCAGTAAATGGGGAGCGATATTTTCAGTGTAAAACTAAACATGGTGTATTTGCTCCTCTCTCCAGAATACAGAAGTAAGTCTAACTCCTCCATGTAATGGACAGAAATTACCGTTTCCCAAATATTTAAAAAAAAAGAGTACATATTAATCATGATGTTGTATTTAAGTTTACATATGTAGTTAAAAAAAGTAAACATTAATCATGATGTTGTATTTAAGTTTACATATGTAGTTAAAAAAAAGTACAAAGCATTCAAATTTTCAAGCAACAGCTTGAAGTTGTATTTGTGATGAAGTTCTAAGGGAAAAAAATTGTGTTTGTGTTTGAAATGTTTTGGAAATGGTTTTGTTTTTTAAAGGCTACTGATATTCATGACTTAGAGAACTGTAAAAGTACATTGAAAAACAATTTTCAGTGATCATTGGCCACACAATAGTTTCAATTTATTGTTTTGCATTTCAATTAACAGGGATATAAATAACCATCATGAATAAAATTGCCAATAAATACTTTAAACCTGGTATCTTAAAAGTTTTATTTTTGTGATCAATTGTTATCTGAAATAATAAAAAGTTTTGTAATAAAATAAGTCTTCCAACTTTTTATATACAATGGAAATTTTTGAATAAATTATGTAAGCTCAGTTCTTTAAAACATTGTAAAATAAGATGGATAAAAAAATTGATATTATCAAATTCAGTAGTTTTACACACATGGTATGTTTATACCCAATGCAACATAGGTGTAGTCACATGATACCGATGATATGCTTTGACTGTGATAATAGGTTAGTTTTGTAAGTACTGGTACTTGAACATGTATACACACACCGTTTTAGATCTAAAATACAATGAATCAGCTTTGAAGTCTTGCTGTACACTGATAAGAGATGTAACTCTTGACAATATTTGTTAGTTTATAATCAGATATTTGCATGAACACATTTAATAAAAAATTACAACATGGTTCCAAAAATAAAAGTGGTTCTTTCACATACAATTTCTTGTTATGGGAGTTATAGCTATTATAAATGCATATATAGATTTGATTATCTAAGAATTTTGATGTTTGGAAATACTGGGGTTTTTTATCTGTAGAAGTCCAGTGGTTAACTGCTTCAGTTAATGCATGTAAAGAGTCCTTAAAAATACACACACATAACAAGCTATAAATCATCCAGAGTCTTTAACACTTAGGAATAAATATAACAGAAATAATGCAAAATCTGCAATAAAAACCCAATTTTCCAAATCACGAAAAACATTAAGATGTGACAACCACTGGTGAGGTTCCTGAAAGTTATTTCTAAAACCAGTTGAATAGATTGTTTTCACCTGAATTTGTTTCTATTTAAGGTTAGGAGATAGAAGATTTAGTTCAAGTGAATCATTAGATGCCATAAGTTGGGGAGCTGTATCAGAGAAGGTGGACAGAAGGAGTAAGTTGTTCTATTATTTTATTTCACTGGATGACAATCAAAGGGATGTCAAACTGTGTTTAAGAAATTTGTTTTAAAGAATAAATATAGGATAAAAAGAGGCAGAAGATACTAGGGGACAATACAATATAAGTACCGGTACCTAGAAAACAAAAACAATGGCCACAAAAGGGCATCAGTACAGTGATTACTAGCCTGTCATCATTTACAACCGTGCCCATGACTACAATCTTAATTGACAAGGATTGCCTGCTTTCCTGCAAAAGGTCGTTAGCTCTCTTACCCTGGGTTCTTTCACCAATAAAAACTTGCCACCACAAGATAGCCATGTTACCACCAGAAGATAGCCATGTTAGCTGGTTGTGGTGTTAAACACAAACAAACAAACAAAAAACAAACTTTGGCCAAAAACAAAATCAACAGTGTTCAACACACTAACAACATCTCACCTACAAAAATATTGGGTGAACGAAGGTATTCTTGAATGGGTAAGCAGATCCTGCTCCCCTAGTTGCACCTTTCTTATTGCTCATGGCAAGTAAAAATTTGATAAGTCACAATCATGGTAAAAAGGATAGGATTCTGGTTATGATATTAAGCATGAAAAAAAAATGTTAGATAAAACTAATTCAGTAAGTGAAAATACATTTTAAAAATTACCTTTACATATAATAAATTAAAAAGATGAATAAAGTATCAAAAGAATTAAACAGAAGGTGTTTTATACCTTCATACATTAGTTTCTGTGACAGCCTTTTAATATTCAATCTTCAAAGTCAAAATTAGTAGTACATTTTTTTAAATAGATTTGAATATATTTTCAGGTGGTTCATTTACTGGCAGATCAAGAACTCCAATTAAAAGGTACATGTTAATAGATTGATAAGATTTCTTTTTATTATAAAAGTAAATCAATTATTAGAACGGATATTACGGTAGTTGAGTATATATTATACAACATAAAATGAGATACAAAGATGTCCAGGAGGTCATTGCTTTTACAAATGTTTCCCCCTACATATACAAGGAATATATGATTGAGATAGCCCATCAATTAAAAAAAAACAAGAGAACAGTTATTCTAAATCCTCTAAGTATAGGATTTTAAAATTGGATGATCCATTTTAATCTTAATATTATAGCAGATTTACTGGATTTGAAGAATTACAGCTAAACTATTTGTGTATGCAGTTTTCATGATGAACTTTTGAAGCCTTAGGCGAGACACTCATTTTTTAAAAATTTTTGTATATACATTCTATTGGCCTGTAGTAGAAATTCTTACAAGCCTGGGTCGGTATGCCTGTGGGCAAGTACGAAGACTGAATATGTAGATAGTTGGTGTACTATAAAAAGAATATTTTGCATGCTTATTTAGGTGAACATGGATTTTTTATTACCTAAACAAAGTGGCCAAGCAGTTTTTTTGCTAATCCTTTGTTTCACATATATTCTATTATTTAATTGGCTAATATTGACAGTTGCTACTCTTCCATTAGTTAGAAAACAAATGCAATATTTACCTAACAAAGAAGCAAACTGGATTTTATGGATGTTTGCTCACAGTCTCAAATAGATAAGCTTGTATAATTAGATAGATGACATTTTTGAATATGTATAAGTTCAGAACCCGTAGATTGTCATGTCAATGAAACTAAAAATATTCTTTTTACAGACCAAAAAGTGGCCACAGCATATCAAGAACTCCTGGATCTAGTTCAGAGTTTAAATTAGAAGTAGGCATGAGTGTGTTTTGCAATAATGAATTAGGTATGTTATATTGTATAGACAGGAATTGAATTGTCTTGAAAAATATGTAATGGCATTTGTGCCAACAAATGTAATGATATTAATTTATTAACACTATAAAAGAGTCTTCAATTACCTTCACTTTTTAATATTTTTTAGAAATGTTTCAGTTATATTAATACTTGCATTAAGGCCATACTAAGTATTTGATATACTTTGCATTATTATTAAAACTAGACTTTTATTATTTTTGAGTTATTACTGATTCACATTATTATAATCTGTTAAAATATTTCAGGTATTGTAAGGTACATTGGCCCTGCAGAATTTGGTGAAGGGCTATGGGTTGGCGTGGAATTACGAACTCCAAAAGGTAAAAATGATGGAAGTGTTCAAGAAAGACGTTACTTTACATGTAAACCAGATCATGGACTACTTGTACGACCAAATAAAATAACTGTTCGGGGAATCAATGGTGCCAAATTACTAGGAGATTACTTTGGGTCCAAGGAAGGAACACCTGAAGATGTTCGGACTGATGGAAGATAATTGGTCATGTGATATTGGAAGTCTTCAAAATGCAATCAAATACATTTCTACCTTCAATATTTATGAATTGTATATTTAAAATGTCTCATTTCATTTTCCTTATTTTTAGAATAATGGAGTTAGGTTTCACTTGATTCTCAATATTTATATTTGTCTGTATAGTATCATTTTTATGTTCTATGGTATATAAGTTCAGATAATCTTTTTATTGTTAAGAATTGTAAACAGTTAAGGATAACAAAATTGTTAGTTACAAGTTGAATTTACAATTATTAACGACAATATTCAGTTACATTGTTGTGTTGAAGCATCACTGACGAAGGGAAATAAAAATGAAAATTTTCCGAAATGTATGTTTGAAGAGTTCAAATAAAATAACCCTTTGCATACTAGATTTATTATTTGATATTTAAGTCCCGATGCTCTGGATAATATTTCAAGAAGACTGTAATAGAATTGAAATGTGTTAGTCTCTCATAAGATGGAACAACAATTCTCAACATTTTATACATTAGGGCTGTTCCAAAATTAATCAGGTGCGGGCGTGGGAGGCACTCAAAATAACTAAATATTGGTGGTTGCTTTTTCCTTAGAATTTTGTAAGAATTAAACATGTAAGTAAAATGAAAATTTTTATTTTATGGGTGGTTGGGGTCTTTAAAAAAGTGCCTTCCAATCCCCCCATGTGCGTATTTCCGGAACATCCCCTTCTCTAATAATAGGGAAATTTTACATAAGGATCTGCTTTCGTATTGTTACAATATTCAATTTAAGAAAATATTATACTTTTGCACAAACTATGTTGTCATGTAATCAGTTAATGCTAATATTCATTGATATGAATTTTTTTCCTAGGTCAATTTTTGAATTTGAACTCTTCATATTAAAATATCAACTAGAATAGTTTTGTGGTAATGAAATTTACATGTTGCTTTTGATTTCAGTTTTCGTTTTCGGAAATCAGTTACCATGTAATGACTATTCACTTAAAATTTAATTTAATTTAAAAATTTATGATACAAAGAAGTAGTACAGTTATTATTGATTTAAGATTTATATACATTTTTATACTGTACATAAACATACATCTGGTGAAATGTTTTACGAAGTATTTACAGCTTGTTTATATCTTTTTATGATATTTGATTCGTAAAATAAGACATCAAATGATTTGGTAATGATTTTAAGATGATTTTTTAACAAGAATTCTCTCAACAGACAGCTGTCAATTTTGTGCAGAAAATCATGTCCTTTGCATGCCAATATATATATATATATATATAAATCCAGTTACATGTTGCATTTATTTCTAAATTTCTGTGGTTTACTGATTATGTTAATTTTTTTTATTTAATTTTTAGCTTATATTTTATTTTCTCATTAATCATTATAAAACCATTCCAGTGATATGAAAAATTTCAAAAGCTTCAATAGCTATAATCATAGCAGAATGTTATGTTGTCATAGCTGTATGTATTATTATTGTTTTGATAGATCTATAATTATAGCTAGAGTAAAAAGATGGGAAGGTATCAAATGACTAATTTATTACCTGAATTCAGACATTGCTGAGTGTCAACAAATCATCCATTTTGGTCTCTTCTGATTATTACACACATTTAAGGCTATGATATCAATATTCAAATCTTTATATTTCATCTTTTCTGATGTGATTTTAACTTGTTATCATAAATGGGTTTAAGAGAGATCAGCAAAAGTTTTCAATGTTGCTTAATATTGACATATCAATAATATCAGATATCAATACCAACCTTATCCAACAACTGTGTTCACCAGAAACAATTGTCTGTATGGTAACTTAGCTTTGCTTTGTCCAATAATTTGTCTACATTTGTGCTATTGGCCAGAAATACAGGCTATGATGGCAGCTATCCTTTATATTATTCCGAAGTTCTTCACTTTAAATAGGTAATTAAGAAAATGTGTAGTCTTCGGATAATATCAGCAAGCACAAGTTTTCTTTGGATAACAGTGTTAACATTTTAGGAATTAATAATTGACCGATACAGGCTGACCTAGATTTCACTAAGACACTTTACGTTGATCAAAAATTGTCAAATTGTGATATATATATATACACTACATAGATTTCAGGGTTATAGGTTGACTATGAAAATCTTTTTTATTAATATATTCATAACATGATAATGAACTTCAACAAATTGTACATCGTCAACCTTATTTGGCAATATTTTTTTCCCATTGAATTGCAAAAATTGTTATTTCTATAAACTGCTGACACATAGAATTATCTGGTATTAATATATGCTTCTTTGGTTATTTTTTGAGAGTTTTATATTTAGAATTTAATTAGCAAGTATTATATTTGCTCTTTGAGTACCAACATGGGACCAAGGTACTTGCATCATTGATGTGTAATGAGTAATAATTTATTTTACTTTTGACCAGCTTTTTCTTTTTTATTTGCAGAAGAGCTTGCACATACATTCCTTTTTTTTCCTTTTTTAAAAATTTTTGTAAATGCTTTTATAGCAGCTGGTGCTGCAATTATTGTTAAATTCATCAGTGTTGTAAAATTTTCTGAAAAAGAAACAAAAAAAATCTCTCACACAATATTGTTTATGTCACAGTGATTTATTTATACATATAACTGCCTGTTCCTCTCGTTTGATTACCTGGCCTTCATTTCACAAAAAATCTTGATTCAAAAAGTCTTTTCAATTCAGTATACTTATGATCAATTTTAGGCATAGTATTTTTTTGTGAAACTGGAACCTTGTACTGCCACACATACCATCCACATATATTTATACTCATGATTCTGGTGCTTATATCATGAATAATTTGTGAGAAAAAATAGTCAAACTTTGTTAAGATCAAATTTATCTTAGTTGTCTCTCTATTGATTTTTGGAGATACTTTCAACATATATTTATTATGTGCTTTTATACAGTTTTTGTTCAACTAGGTCATTATCTTAACCAGCTTAAAATTTTGCATTTCAGTCCAAGTGTTAACATTTTATTTGGTTTATAAAGGGAAAGGCATATGTGTTTTACAAACACATTATTAAGTTGAATTGGCCTTGTGGTATTTTTAGTTGAAACCAAGGAATAGATTGACCTATGTTTCCATACAATTATTGTTGATGTTTTAGATGTAGTTTTTATTGAGGAAACACAAGATGACTTTATAACTTATACAATGATTCAGCAAAATTTTTATACAAATGAAATTATTAACTGGAAAGAACTTGATATAAAATTGTTTTGTTTTGCTTGATTTTATTTGTATGAAATTGGATACATAATTTGTTAAATGCATGAGAAAGGAAAAATTAAAAAAAAAAATTCTATAAAAATCATAAAAAGATGTTCTGTCTTTATTAGCCTTTATCTCAATTAATGAGAAGTACCATGTGAAATTACCCTCATGTCTGACCAGGGTAACATATAGATTTTTGTCTTGCCTTCGAGAAAAGTTGCAGAATGTGAGACATAGGGATTACTCTCTGATGGCAGCATAAACTATTTGTTTAAAGCTTAATATTTCAGAAGGTAAAAGACCTGGATGATTTATACCTTGTATTCAGATGCCTTATGTTACAAAGTTTCAGTCTGTCGTATGTCCATTGTCCTTAATCCTATTTTCTTGGTTCAGCAACTGTTTGAATAAAATATATAACTTTTTTGTCATGTGAAATACTCACTTATTATGTGTAATAGGATAATTATATTTGGTATATGGGATCCTTGCAAGGTATGCATGTCTTGTCAGATAGGGTTCACCTGACCTACACCTCATTAGATAGATTAATGATCGTAGAGGTTAAGTTATTGTGGTCAAGTTCGTTAATCAGATACTATAAGTAATAGGTCAACTATATTTGCCGTGTGGCATGATTGTAAGGTGTACGTGTTCATCTGACCTTGACCTCATTTTAAGGGTTTATTGCTCAATGTTAAGTTTTTTAGTCTGTTTCTCGGATACTATAAGCAATATGGCAACTATATTTGGTGTTTGGAATGATTGTTAGGTGTACAAGTCTGTCTAGCAGGGTTCATCTGACCTTGACCTCATTTTTATGGTTCATTAGTCAATGTTAAGTTTGTATGGTTTAGTACAAATTCAGAAATTATTGCTATTTTTGTCGAGCCTGCGACTTCTGTCGAAGAAAGCAAGACATAGGGATAGTGATCCGGCGACGGCAGTGTTAAACTATTCTTGCCAGATTTTTTGAAACTCAGTGCCGATCAATTATTTTTAAAAGAGTTATGCCCTTGGAAATATTATTTATATGGAAAATTGTATCATTAGCGCTCTTATTTGTACAATTCTTGCCAGATTTTTAGGAAACTTATATCATAGGTTAATATGAGCAATGTCTTGGATGAGTTCAAAAAATCAGTGCCAATTAATTATTTTTAAAAGAGTTACATTGCCACCAGACATCTAAAGTGTGTTGTTGGATTGCCAGACATCTCAATCAGCAATGTCTCATTTATTTATGTCCCCCAGCAACGGACATAGAAATACAGGGTGTCCATCCGTCCGTCCGGTCTTGTTAGGATTCTCACATGTACAATTCTTGCCAGATTTTTATGAAACTTATATCATAGGTTTATATCCGCAATGTCTTGGACGAGTTCGAAAATCAGTGCCAATCAATTTTTTAAAAAGAGTTATGCCCCTTGGAAACATTGATTTATATGGAAAATTGCATTGTTAGTGCTCTCCCATGTACACTTTTTACCAGATTTTTATCAAATTCATCAAAGGTATATAACAGCAATGTCTCAGACAATTTAAAAAATAAGTGCCAATCAAAATTTCTAATGAGATTCCCTTGGAAATATTAAATATATCTGAAATTGCTCTCAAGTCTTCAACTCTCTAGTAAGATAGTTTTAAAAAGTTTTAAAGAACAAAAAAAATTTTTTTTAGTTATTGTCCTTGGACAGATCAGATGAAATTTGTGCAAAAGCGGGGGATTGATTGATTGATTGATTGTTGTTTAACGCCACTTACACACTTTTATTTCGTGGCAGTCAGTTTTTATTGGTGGAGGAAGCCGGAGTGCCCAGAGAGAACCACTGACCTTCAGTAGGAAAACTGACAATCCTAGTCAATTAAAATTAGAGTCGAGTGCACCTGCCCCGTGCGGGATTCGAACTCACAACATCAGTGTTGACTGGCTTGTGATACAGTAGTTTGACTACTTAGACCACTCAGCCACTGAGGCCCCTGCAATGCGGGGAAAATTGGATTTTTTATGAGTAATAGGATTTCTATATTTGGTATGTGGGTTCCTTGCCTGTCAGACAGTTTTCACCTCATTTCATAGATCAGTGAACAAGGTTTTCGTGGTCGAGTCCATATCTCAGAAACTATAAGCAATAGGTCTTCTATATTTGGTGTATGGAATGATTGTAAGTTGTATATGTCTGTCTGGCAGTTATCATTTAACCATGACCTCATTTTAATGGTTCATTGGTCAATATTAAGTTTTCCTGGTTAAGTTTGTTTTTTAGATACTATATGCAATAGGTCAACTATGTTTAAAGCATGTAATCATTGTAAGGTGTACATGTCTGTCTGGCAGGGTTCATCTGACCTTGACCTCATTTTTATGGTGCATTGATCAATGTTACGTTTTCATGGTTTGGTCTGTTTTTTCTTGTATACTATAAGCAATAGGTCAACTATATTTGGTGGGTACAATGATTTTAAGGTGTACATGTATTTCTGGCTTACTTTATCTGACCTTGACCTCATTTTCTTTAATCATGTTCTGTTTATGTGACATCTGTAGTAAAACCTTATATTTAGTACTATCAACATTAATCAATGGTCAGTAAAGCAGGCGAGACATTTCAGCGTGTGCACTCTTGTTTAAAGGACAAAGAAGAATGTGTCCACAGTACACGGATGCCCCACTCGCACTATCATTTTCTATGTTCAGTGGACCGTAAAATTGGGGTCAAAACTCTAATTTGGCATTAAAATTAGAAAGATCATATCATAAGGAACATGTGTACTAAGTTTCAAGTTGATTGGACTTCAACTTCATCAAAAACTACCTTGACCAAAAACTTTAACCTGAAGTGGGACAGTATTATTTTCTATGTTCAGTGGACCGTGAAATTGGGGTCTAAACTCTAATTTGGCAACTTTAACCTGAATTGAGACAGACAGACAGACGGACGGACGGACAGAAGAACTGATGGACGGACAGAAAAACAGACGCACAGACTGAAAAACATAATGCACCTAGGTGGGGCATTAAAAGCAAGATTTATTATTGCAATATCAGGAAAATCTTTATACACTTATATGTGTCAAATACAGAATGCGAGTTCTGATTATTGTGAGTAACACCCAATCGCATTATTCGCAATAACAAAAACCTTGCATTAATTTCTGAATTAACAGTATGTCTATTTCTCAGATACTATAAACAATAGGTCAACTATATTTGTTGTATGGAATGATTACATGGTGTAAATGTTGTCTGGCAGGGTTCATTCTACCTAGACCTCATTTTTAAGGTTCGGTCAATCTTCAATTTTCAATATAAGGTCTGTTTTTAGATCACCGGGGCCCGAAGGGCCCTATGTAAGCTTATGCCATCACTTGGCGTCCGGCGTCTGTCGTCGTCGTCTGTCGTTGTCTGTCGTTGTCTGTCGTCGTCTGTCGTCGTAAACTATTTCAAAAATCTTCTCTGAAACTACTGGGCCAAATACCTTCAAACTTTAACTAAATGTTCCTTAGGGTATCTAGTTTATAAATTGTATCCAAAGTTTTGATCCATTGACAAACATGGCCGCCATGGCTAAAAATAGAACATAGGGGTCAAATGCAGTTTTTGGCTTATATCTCAAAAACTAAAGCTTTTAAAGCAAATCTGATATTGGGTAAAATTGTTCAATTGGTCAAGATCTATCAGCTCTGAATTTTCAGACGAATCGAACAACCCATTGTTGGGTTGCTGCCACCGAATTGGTAGTTTTAACAAAATTTTGCAGTTTTTTGTTATTATTTTGAATATTATTATAGATATATATAAACTGTAAGCAGCAATAATGTTCAGCAAAGTAAGATCTACAAAAAAGTTAATATGACCAAAATTGTCAATTGACCCCTTAAGGAGTTATTGCCCTTTAAAGACAATTTTACACAATTTGTTCATCAAGTTTGCTAACATTAAAAAAATCTTCTCCTCTGAAATACAGGTGAGCGATTCAGGTTCTTGAGAGCCTCTTCTTTAAGATATTATATGTAACAGGCTAAATACATTTGGTGTATGGTGATTGTAAAGTGTACATGTCTGTCTGGTAGGGTTTATCTGACCTTGACCTCATTCACATAGATCATTGATAATGTTAAAATTTATGTGATACTTAACACAATAAAACCCTTCATAATACAGGCTTTCAACTTAGATATAATAACTTCATGTATAAGTAAAGCAGACGAGTCGTTTCAGTTGTGCACTCTTTGAGTTTAAAAAATCACCTGTGAGTGTCACTGTGCAAAAATCTCCAAAAAAATGATCCCATGTCCCATGCTCATTTTATTATCTTCAAATACAGTATGAACAAAAAATGTGTGTCAATGTCAAGATAAAGGAACCAAAAAAAGTTTATTGAACCCCAGCACTGTAAAACCTACAAAATAAATGTGGATAGTGTCCACATGTGGACACAGATGATGCCCCCGCTTGCATATCATATAGTTATAAAGGGACATAACTGAAGAACAGTAAAATAGACGCTACCCAAATTTGAACTTGATCTGAGTTTTGTGGTAATAAGCATTGTGTGTAAGTCTCATAACATTTGGTTGAGGCAAACTTAAGTAGAGAACAGAAACTAAAATTTCAGCAATTTTTCTATTTGTAAACACGCATAACTCTAGAACGGTTGTGTATAAGTTTTATAATATTTGGTTGAGACAAACTAAAGTTAGAGAAATGAAACGAAAAATTCAGCAATTTTTATGTTTATAAAGGGACATAACTCAAGAATGGTAAAAGAGACGCCACCAAATTTCGTACTTAATCTGTATTATGTAGTAATAAGCATTGTGTATAAGTTTCATAACATTTACTAAAGTTAGAAAACGGAAACAAAAAATTTGTTCTTGATCTTAGTTTTGTGGTAATGAATATTGTGTATAGGTTTCATAATGTTTGGTTGGGGCAAACTTAAGTTACAGAATGGAAACTAAAAATTTTGCAATCTTTCGATTTATAAAGGGCATAACTCAATAATGGTTAAAGTGACACTACCCAAATTCAACTTGATCTGTGTTTTATCAGTGGAAGTCAAAATTAAACATTGCATTGTATAAAGCATTGATTGTAGTTGATTCAACTATAATCATGGACAAAGGAAGATAACTCCAATTTTAAAAATAAATTTATATTGAGAAGAAAATAAAAATTTTGCAATTTTTCCATTTCTAAAGGGGCATAACTCTAGAACGGTTAAAGTGACGCCACCAAAATTCAAACTTGATCTGTGTTTTGTGGTAATAAGCATTGAGTATAAGTTTCATAACATTTGGTTGAGGCAAACTAAAATTAGAGAACAGAAACAAAAATTCAGCAATTTTTCCATTTGTAAAGGGGCATAACTCTAGAACAGTAAAAGTGACGCCACCAAAATTCAAACTTGATCTGTGTTTTGTGGTAATAAGCATTGTGTATCAGTTTCATAACATTTGGTTGAGGCAAACTAAAGTTAGAGAACGGAAATGAAAAATTCAGCAATTTTTTCATTTGTAAAGGGGCATAACTCTAGAACGGTAAAAGTGACGCCACCAAAATTCAAATTTGATCTGTGTTTTGTGGTAATAAGCATTGTGTATAAGCTTCATAACATTTGGTTGAGGCAAACTAAAATTAGAGAACAGAAACGAAAATTCAGCAATTTTCCATTTGTAAAGGGGCATAACTCTAGAACAGTAAAAGTGACGCCACCAAAATTCAAACTTGATCTGTGTTTTGTGGTAATAAGCATTGTGTATCAGTTTCATAACATTTGGTTGAGGCAAACTAAAGTTAGAGAACGGAAATGAAAAATTCAGCAATTTTTTCATTTGAAAAGGGGCATAACTCTAGAACGGTAAAAGTGACGCCACCAAAATTCAAACTTGATCTGTGTTTTGTGGTAATAAGCATTGTGTATAGTTTCATAACATTTGGTTGAGGCAAACTAAAGTTAGAGAACGGAAACCAATTTTGGGACGTACGTACGTACAGACGGACAAGGGTAAAACTTAATGCCCCCTCCGCCACGGCGGGGGCATAAAAATATTTTCGCAGTATGTTATTTTCACGATTTCAATGCATAAATATTTTGTACTTGGGTTTAATATGCTTTAGGTTGATAAATGTGCACTAAAATAAAGTTGATGTGTAACGGTATATCCTTTCCAGCACAGGACATTTTAGTGAAGTAAGAGAAAAATTTCTTTTTACAGTAGATGTCAACTAATCTTTAGTGACAAACAAAAGTGTCCTTACCATGTCAATTTTATAATATCAATAGTCTTAAGAAAAAGTTGCAAATGAATTCAACCAAAACTACCAAAGATCTACCATCAAACATATTTGAATAAAAGAACAGAGTTCAAATGTCCCCCGCATTGTACATATTTTAACTATCCAAGGTACAAGGGCAATTACTAAAAAAAAAAACATTTTTTTGTTGTTCTTTAAATTTTTTTTATAAATATCTTAGAGAAATGAAGGCCTCAGAGCATAGGCAATGAGATTTCCGTTATAATTAATATTTCCAAGAATTGTACACATGAGAGCGCTAACAATGCAATTTTCCATATAATCAATATTTCCAAGGGGCATAACTCTTTTTTTTTTTAAATTGATCAGCACTGATTTTCGAATTTGTCTGAGACATTGATTATATCAACCTATAAAATAAATTTCATAAAAATTTGGCAAGAATTGTACACATGAGAACGCTAACAATGCAATTTTCTATATAATCAATATTTCCAAGGGACATAACTTTTTTTTTTAAATAATTGATCGGCACTGATTTTTGAACTCATCAAAGACTTGATGATATAAACCTCTAATATAAATTTCATAAAAATCTGGCAAGAATTGTACACATTAGTGTGCTCACATGGGAATTTTCCATATAATTAATATTTTCAAGCGGCATAACTCTTTTAAAAATAATTGATCTGCACTGATTTTCAAACTCGTCCAAGACATTGCTGATATAAACCTATGAAATAAGTTCCATAAAAATCTGACAAGAATTGTACATGTGAGAGTGCTAACAAAACCAGAGGGACGGACGCCCCATATTTCTATGTCCGTTTATGGGGGACATAAATAAATGAGACATTGCTGATTGAGATGTCTGGCAATCCAACAACACATCTTAGATGTCTTGTGGCAAAGCAACAACACGTCCTAGATGTCTGGTGGCAATGTAACAAAAAGAAAAAACCTTGATGAGATTTATATTTATTGAAAATAACTGCATTTAAAAATTAATCATATAAAAGATAATTACAATTGTTTTGATAAAAGAAAAATATACAAAATGGAATGTACACCATAAAATGATATGTATGAAGTAAACACATGCTACTTTATATGCATATGTATAAGATATGTGGACTAACAACCTATAAAAACACAACATTATTGCAATGATTAAAAAAAAATACCACGATTCACTAGACAATGTGGACACATCACTTGAGTTTGTCAAACATTATTATCTCAGCTATTAGCTGACCCAGTTCAAAATATGTTAAATTTCAACTATCAGTAAACTTTTTTGTCAGTTTATTTGTTTATTGATAAATTTTTACTAACTTCTGTTGTCATTCAATTATGAAAATACCACTTTATAAATTTGGTGCAACTGAAGCGCTTTTCTGGATTTACCTTTATCAGGTATACTCAAACTCCAAATTTTTGTAGCCAAGCGACATTAAATCTACATATTTTATCTGTGATCAAATTTGAAGATATTTTGCTAATAATTTCTAGTAATCAATAATATTAGAAATAAATACAGTTAAAGGTACATGTATAAGGTTTAATGTGCATGTAAATTCACTCTTGGCTGTAAATAGTATAACAATTCTTTTTTTTTATAATAAATATGTACAATATAGACACATTAAACATACATGAGAAATCTTATTTATAATCAAGTATCAAGAAATATACAATTTACAAAAAGCACTTTGAATATAAAAAATAAAACCTACCAGTATCACCTATAAATGCATATTGATGACACCACTCCCCCCCAAAAAGCCAATATATTTTGATGTTTCAAGTTCATACATCATGGACATGTATTTCTTAATAAAATACTTTATAAAAATGATTAAAAATAATATGATTGTAAGCTAAAACAGGGCATATGCAGCTCCCCCAACCATTTTAAAAACATCAAAGTACTATTTTATTATTGGTGCTGAAGATTTGGAGACTTGCCCATATTATTTCAATCATGGCAGCAAAAAACAAGAATTTCAAGAAGTTAAAAAGGCCGTTTATTAAGGTGCTGTGTTTATTTATTACATTTTCCACACTAATTGAAAAGTCAATTTACTAATAATGGCTTTCCACATCCACTGCCTCTTTCTTTTCATCACCCAAAATCAATCTGTTAAATAGCTCTCTTAAAACCATCCAAAAATAATCTCTAATACAGTTTAGACTGTTTAGCTCTCTTTTAACTACTCCAAAATAATCTCTAATACAGGTCTCACAGAACAGAAAAGAATTCTTTTCATCACCCAAAAATAATCTCAAATACAGAATTGACTGTTATGCTCTCTTTAACCCATCCAAAAATAATCTCTCTTATACAGATTTGACTGTAAAGCTCTCTTTTAACCATTCAAAAAAATAATCTCAAACACAGATTTAACAGAAAAGCTTTCTTTTCGTCACCCAAAAATAATCTCAAATACATATTTGACAGAAAAGCTCTCTTTTCTTCACCCAAAAATAATCTCTTAATACAAATTTGATGGTTTAGCTCTCTTTTAATCACCTTAAAATTTAATAATCAAATGCAGATTTGACAGAAAAGCTTTTTTTCATTATCCAAAATAATCTCATAAACAGATTTGAAAGCAACTCTTTCTTTTCTTCACCTCAAAATAATCTCTTATACAGTTTTGACTGTAAAGGCTTTAAGCAATATGATTAGAAATATCATTTAGGTGAATAAAGAAATCTCAAATTTTGGAAGCACTTTTAAATATCAAATCTCCAACACAGAAATTTCTCATATTATGCTAAATCAGAATCTCATTTTTTCAGATAAAAATCCCTTTAATATTCAAAACAGATGAATAACTTGAGAATTAAATGAGTCAAAGTAAAAGGAGTATTGGTAACATTGTTGAGAAATTCTAACTACAATATGTAAATGTCAATAATCTCCTAAAGGAGAAGGAAGTATAACACTGTAAAAAGTTATATACAACCTGCCAGTTACAACAAGAATCTCATTGAATATTATACATAATTAATTGGTCATAAAACTTAAAAGAAAAACAAGCTGAAAAAGTTTTTTTTCCCTTTTAAACATACCAGTGCATAAAATATTGTTTAAATCATAATATCAGTACACATTATATTAGACAACAGTTTTTAATCTCAATCAAAACTAGTGCATAATATGCAGAACTATAAAAAATATAGTAGGCCTGTATAAAGTGTAATGCATACAGATTAAAGATATTGTTTGAGTTTTCAGATTTTAAAGGTTAAGTTACTATTAGAAAATGTCACTTGTATGGCAAAATACTGATAAACAACAACTAATCCTATTTTCTATTGCAAAAAGTTTTTGAGTATAAGGTCATCTACAAGATCTAAACTTCTAATAATAATCCAATGTTAAGGTAAAGTGAGATTCTTTGAAGAATGAGTAAATGTTTTCTGAGTATAGTTGAAGTATCTATGAAAATTATGCATACTAGAATATAATATCTTCTGTGACTATCTAATAAAAAAAATCCAAAGTTAATGGTATACAAAAGAAGGAGTATATAAGACAGTATTTTCTTTCACAAAACAAACTGATGTATCTATTGTATGCAAAAAAGATATACATGAAAACTTTCATGTATTTAGTCATGTCAGATCTATGTATAGCTATTGAATAAAAAAAAACATATACATGAAAACTTTCATATATTCAGACATATCAGATCTTAATTATAATATAGAGAATAATCTACTAAAATTAACTTGAATCCTGTAAATTTTTGATTGAAAATTAATGATGAACTATATGTAATGTAAACCTGGCAGTATAACATGTATAAACATAAGATATAATTTCATGATAACATTGTCATCTTTACACTATACAAAATGTATGGTGCATACAGAATATGTCATATATCACAATATATCTAACATTCAAAAGTCAAAACACCAACATACATGCTTGACTCTTCCATTCTGTAGTTAATGTGTGTATAATGGCACAGGCTCTCAATGATCAAGGTTCAATGATCAGTGAATCAATGTCAACAATAATGATAGTATTGATATGATAATGATGGATGGTGTAACAGCTGTACTTTTGTTTAATATGTAAATTATTGTTGGTTTTCTGTATGGATCTAATCCAGGATCAAATCTCTGTGGGCAATCATCAACTGCAAAACAAAAAAAATAATCAGGCATCAGTATCGTCTATTGTACATGTATGATAAAATACCATCAAACATGAAATACAAGGGTGCACACGCAGAAATGTCTCGCCTGTTTTACTTACCATTGATTTCATGTTGAAAGTCTTAAAGATAAAGGTATTACTACAAGTATCACATCAACTTAACATTTTAAAGATCCATGACAATGAGGTCAAGGTCAGATAAAAACTGTCACACAGACATGTACACCTAACAATTATTCCATAAACCAAATAAAGCTGACCCATTGCTTACGGTAATTGAAAAACAGACCAAAACACAAAAACTTAATGTTAACCAATGAACCATGGAAATGAGGTCAAGGTCAGATGATACTTGCTAGACAGACATGTACATCTTACAATCATTCCATACACCAATCAGACTTGGGGTCAATTACATTGGAATGTAATTAATTGAATTACACATTACATTGCAAAAATGATCAATTACACTAATTACCATTACACAGTTTTGGCAATGTAATTAATTAAATTACAATTACTTTACCAAAGTAATTAATTAAATTACACATTACATTTTATCAGAATTGTATAAACCAATATGTTATGTACAATGTAAATATATATAACTTGTCTCAAATTTAGCCCAACAATGTTAAATCTTCTTCCCTCAGCTGAATTTGACCTCTTGATTCTTTATATATATATTGCATGAGCCAAGGCTCCGTGTTGAAGACCGTACTTTGACCTATAATGGTTTACTTTTATAAATTGTGACTTGGATGGAGAGTTCTCTCATTGGCACTCATACCACATCTTATATCTATTGTAAGCTTATGTGACAATTTGGACGTAAAGTGTTTTCATTTAATTGATAACTGGTATTTTTTGTCAGCTATTATCTATTGTCATGATTGTCATTAAATTTCTAAACTTTTCAATTTTAACTATTGCCAAGCTAAATATATGTCAAAGGCAACAAACATCACTATGGCATCCGTTTTTTTTTTGCATTTGGTCAAATACCATTGAATTTCTTTAATTAAGGTAGCCAACTTAGGTTATTTTGTTCTTTAAAAAATTCAAAAGAAATATAGTTGTCATAACATTGAAAATAATTGAAGTTTAATGCTTCATATATTTGTATACATCTGCTAATTAGATAAAATACTTGTAATAGTTTACATTGTCCCTAGGCTGTTTTACACACATATTAATCAGACTAATTGCCATTTGTTTTTACAGCTGATAATTTTATTTCTATAAACTAATTGTGTATACTAATTTGACAAAATTAGTGTGTGCAAGGATTTAAAACATTTATGTAAGTCACAAAGTCAAACTTCCGGATATTTTAGAAGTACATTGATGGCAATTTGCTCTAAAAGTTTCATTAGGATTTGTTGGTTTCTCATTAATTCATGTGAATTAAATATTATTTTACAATTAATATTAGCATAATTTCTAATGATTAACATAAAAAATTACATGCATATGTAATTGAAAAGTAATTTAGCATTACATGCTTTTTTCAATGTAATTAATTAAATTACCATTACATGTAATTTAAAAAATGCTCAATTACACATTACATTCAATTACATGGAAAATTGTAGTGCATTACACTTAATTACAATTACATTTTCAATTACCCCATCCCTGACACCAATTATAGTGACCTATTACTATTGGTATTTTAAAAACAGACCAAAACACAATAAAATGCTCCGCTGGGTGCAGCTTGATACGACCGCAGAGGTCGAACCCTGAACAGTTGGGGCAAGTATGGACACAACATTCAAGCTTGATACAGCTCTGAATTTGGATTGTGATTAAATATTTGACACAGCATAGGTTTCTGACACAGAATGAATGTGGTCTAAGAATTTAAAATTTTTTAATTTACCTATTATGTTCTAATATCCAAAATCTAAATACATGGTTAGATTCAGCATATCAAAGAATCAAAAGAATTCACGATTTTTGATGAAATCAAACTAAGTTTAATTTTGGACCCTTTGGACCTCAATGTGGACCAATTTGATAACGGGGCCCAAAAATCAAAATACATGGTTAGATTCAGCATATCAAAGAACCCCATATATTCAATTTTTGTTGAAATCAAACAAAGTTTAATTTTGGACCCCAACTTGGACCAACTTGAAAACTGGACCCATAATCAACAAGAGTGCACACGCTGAAATGTCTCGCCTTCTTTACTAATCATTGATATTATGTTGATAGTCCTAAATATAAAGCTTTATTACAACTGTCACATAAACTTAACATTAACCAAGTAAACTAAACATTGACCAATGAACCATGAAAATGAGGTCAAGGTCAGATGAACCATGCTAGGCAGGCATGTACAGCTAACAATTCTTCCATACAACAAATAGAGTTGACCTATTGCTTATAGTTTAAGAAAAACAGACCAAAACACAACAAGAGTGCACACGCTGAAATGTCTCGCCTTCTTTACTAATCATTGATATTATGTTGATAGTCCTAAATATAAAGCTTTATTACAACTGTCACATAAACTTAACATTAACCAAGTAAACTAAACATTGACCAATGAACCATGAAAATGAGGTCAAGGTCAGATGAACCATGCTAGGCAGGCATGTACAGCTAACAATTCTTCCATACAACAAATATAGTTGACCTATTGCTTATAGGTTAAGAAAAACAGACCAAAACACAAAAACTTAACACTGAGCAATGAACCTTGAAAATGAGGTCAAGGTCAAATAAAACCTGCGTGACTGCCAAATAGATCATAAAATATTTCCATACACCAAATATAGTTGAACTATTGCATATAGTATTAGAAAAAAAGACCAAAACTCAAAAAACTTAACTTTGACCACTGAACCATGAAAATGAGGTCATGGTCAGATGACACCTGCCCGCTAGAATGTACACCTTACAATCATTCCATACACCAAATATAGTAGACCTATGGCATACAGTATAAGAAAAACAGACCAAAACACAAAAACTTAACTATAACCACTGAACCATGAAAATGAGGTCAAGGTCAGATGACACCTGCCAGTTGGACATGTACACCTTACAGTCCTTCCATACACCGAATATACACGACCTATTGCTTATAGTATCTGAGATATGGACTTGACCACCAAAACTTAACCTTGTTCACTGATCCATAAAATGAGGTCGAGGTCAAGTGAAAACTGTCTGACGGGCATGAGGACCTTGCAAGGTACGCACATACCAAATATAGTTGAACTACTGCATATAGTATTAGAAAAAAAGACCAAAACTCAAAAACTTAACTTTGACCACTGAACCATGAAAATGAGGTCAAGGTCAGATGACACCTGCCCGCTAGACATGTACACCTTACAATCATTCCATACACCAAATAAAGTAGACCTATGGCATACAGTATAAGAAAAACAGACCAAAACACAAAAACTTAACTATAACCACTGAACCATGAAAATGAGGTCAAGGTCAGATGACACCTGCCAGTTGGACATGTACACCTTACAGTCCTTCCATACACCGAATATACAAGACCTATTGCTTATAGTATCTGAGATATGGACTTGACCACCAAAACTTAACCTTGTTCACTGATCCATGAAATGAGGTTGAGGTCAAGTGAAAACTGTCTGACGGGCATGAGGACCTTGCAAGGTACGCACATACCAAATATAGTTATCCTATTACTTATAATAAGAGAGAATCTAACATTACAAAAAATCTGAACTTTTTTTTCAAGTAGTCACTGAACCATGAAAATGAGGTCAAGGACATTGGACATGTGACTGACGGAAACTTCGTAACATGAGGCATCCATATACAAAGTATGAAGCATCCAGACCTTCCACCTTCTAAAATATAAAGCTTTTAAGAAGTTAGCTAACGCCGCCGCCGCCGCCGCCGCCGCCGCCGGATCACTATCCCTATGTCGAGCTTTCTGCGACAAAAGTCGCAGGCTCGACAAAAACCTAACACTGAGCAATGAACCTTGAAATGAGGTCAAGGTCAAATAAAACCTGTGTGACTGCCAAATAGATCATAAAATATTTTCATACACCAAATATAGTTGAACTATTGCATATAGTATAAGAAAAACAGACCAAAACACAAAAACTTAACTATAACCACTGAACCATGAAAATGAGGTCAAGGTCAGATGACACCTGCCAGTTGGACATGTACACCTTACAGTCCTCCCATACACCATATATACTAGACCTATTGCTTATAGTATCTGAGATATGGACTTGACCACCAAAACTTAACCTTGTTCATTGATCCATGAAATGAGGTCGAGGTCAAGTGAAAACTGTCTGACGGGCATGAGGACCTTGCAAGGTACGCACATACCAAATATAGTTGAACTATTGCACATAGTATTAGAAAAAAAGACCAAAACTCAAAAACTTAACTTTGACCACTGAACCATGAGAATGAGGTCAAGGTCAGATGACACCTGCCCGCTAGACATGTACACCTTACAATCATTCCATACACCAAATATAGTAGACCTATGGCATACAGTATAAGAAAAACAGACCAAAACACAAAAACTTAACTATAACCACTGAACCATGAAAATGAGGTCAAGGTCAGATGACACCTGCCAGTTGGACATGTACACCTTACAGTCCTTCCATACACCGAATATACTAGACCTATTGCTTATAGTATCTGAGATATGGACTTGACCACCAAAACTTAACCTTGTTCACTGATCCATGAAATGAGGTCGAGGTCAAGTGAAAACTGTCTGACGGGCATGAGGACCTTGCAAGGTACGCACATACCAAATATAGTTATCCTATTACTTATAATAAGAGAGAATCTAACATTACAAAAAATCTGAACTTTTTTTTCAAGTAGTCACTGAACCATGAAAATGAGGTCAAGGACATTGGACATGTGACTGACGGAAACTTCGTAACATGAGGCATCCATATACAAAGTATGAAGCATCCAGACCTTCCACCTTCTAAAATATAA